TTCTCCCATTTCCCTATTTTTTTTCCCATTTTCCCCCATTTTTTCATACTCTAACCCATTTTCCCCCATTTTCCCCACATTCTAACCCATTTTTCCCCCATTTTCCCCACATTCTAACCCATTTTTCCCCCATTTTCCCCTCTCCAACCCCATTTTTTTCCATTTTTTCTCCCCATTTCCCCATTTTTTTTTCCATTTTTCCCCATTTTTTCATACTCTAACCCATTTTTTCTCCCCATTTTCCCATTCCAACCCCATTTTTCATCCCCATTTTCATGTTTTACCTCAATTTTTCTCCATTTTCCCCCATTTTTTCATATTTTAACCCATTTTTTCTCCCCATTTTTTCCCCATTTTTCCCCCATTTTCCCCATTTTAACCCATTTCTCCCCCTTTTCCCAGCCCCTCTGGGCCATGGGCAACGCCAAGAGCGGCGCCCTGTCCAAGGAGATCCTGGAGGAGCTCAAGACCAGCACCCGTTACTCGGAGGAGGAATTGTGCCGCTGGTACGAGAGTTTCCAGCGCCAGTGCCCGGACGGGCGCATCAGCCGCGCCGAGTTCGAGAAAATCTACGGCACCTTCTTCCCCAACTCGGACCCGCAGGGCTACGCGCGCCACGTCTTCCGCAGCTTCGACACCAACGACGATGGGACGCTCGATTTTCGGGAGTACATTATTGCATTACATTTGACGTCGTCGGGGAAAACGCATTTGAAGCTGGAATGGGCGTTTTCGCTCTTCGATGTTGATAGAAATGGAGAAATCAGTAAGAATGAGGTGCTGGAGATCATCACGGTGAGGAAATGTGGGGTTAAAAATGGAAAAAATTGGAAAAAATGGGAAAAAATGGGAAAAAATGGGGAAAAAATGGGGTTTGGGATCATGAGACTGGAGAGATCGGCAAGAGTGAGGTGTTGGAGATGATCACGGTGAGGAAATTTGCAGTTTTGGGTGAAAAAATGGGAAAAAATGGGAAAAAATGGGGTTTGGGATGAGTAACAATGGGGAGATCCCAAGGAGGAGGTGTTGGAGATCATCACGGTGAGTTTGGGAATCCAGGATTTGAGATTTGGGGTCATTACGGTGAGGAAATCCAAAATTCGGGGTCAAAAATGAAAAAAAATGGGGTTTGGGAGTGAGAAATTGGAGTTACGGGATTGGGGAATGGGGAGATCAACAAGAGTGAAGTGTTGGAGATGATCACGGTGAGTTTGGGATTGGGAAATTTGGAGATTTGGGGTTTGGGGATGTGAAATTTGGGTTCGACACCAACGACAACGGAACCCTCGATTTTCGGGAGTGCATCATCGCTTTACATTTAACGTCGTCGGGGAAAACGCATCTGAAATTGGAGTGGGCGTTTTCGCTCTTCGATGTCGATAGGAATGGAGAGATCAGCAAGAATGAGGTGCTGGAGATCATCACGGTGAGTTTGGGAATCCAGGATTTGAGATTTGGGGTCATCATGGTGAGGAAATGCAAAATTTGGGGTCAAAAATGGGAAAAAATGGGGTTTGGGATGAGTGAGAATGAAGAGATTCCAAGAGAGAGAGGATGGAGATCATCACAGTGAGGAAATATCAAGATTTGGGGTGAAAAAACATGAAATTTGGGGTCAAAAAATGAAAAAAAATGGGTTTGGGATGAGTAAGAATGGGAAGATCCCAAGAGAGAGAGGATGGAGATCATCACGGTGAGGAAACACAAAATTCGGGGTCAAAAAATGTGAAATTTGGGCTTTGGGAGTGGGAAATTGGAGTTATGGGATTGGAGAATGGGGAGATCCCAAGGAGGAAGTGCTGGAGATGATCACGGTGAGTTTGGGAATCCAGGATTTGAGATTTGGGGTCAAAAATTGGGAAATTTGGGTTCGACACCAACGACGACGGAACGCTCGATTTTCGGGAGTGCATCATTGGAAAAATTGGAGTTCTGGGGTTCAGGATTTGGGATTTGGGGTCATCGCGGTGAGGAAACGCAAAATTTGGAGTAAAAAAACGGGAAATTTGGGGTTTGGGAATGGGAAATTGGAGTTATGGGATTGGAGAATGAGATTTTCGGTGGAATTTGGGATATTTTGGGTCAGGGTTGAGTTAGGCCTGGGGTTCGGCCTAAGGTTAGGATTAGGGTTAGGGTTAGGGGTAGGCCCAGGGTTCAGATTTGCAATATTTTGGAGCAATTTGGGATTTTTGGGATGGAATTTGGGGGATTTTGGGAGATTTTGGTTCGAATTTGGGGGATTTTGGATGGAACTTGGTGGATTTTGGGTCAGGGTTTGTTTAGGCCTAGGGTTCGGCCTAGGGTTAGGGTTAGGGTTATGGTTAGGGTTAGGGTTAAGATTAAGGGAATTTGGGGAGTATTTGGGATTTTTGAGTTGGAATTTTGGGGATTTGGGGCATTTTGGCTAAAATTTGGGGAATTTTGGGTGGAATTTGGGGTATTTTAGGTCATGATTGGGTTAGGGTTATGGTTAGGCCTAGGGTTAGGGTTAGGGTTATGGTTCGGGGAATTTTGGGGAAATTTGGGATTCTGGGATTAAATTTGGGGAATATTTGGGGATTTTTCCTGGAATTTGGGCATTTTGGGTTGGAATTTTGGGAATTTTGGGTGGAATTTGGGGTATTTTGGGTTAAGGTTAGGCCTAGGGTTAGGGCTAGGGCTAGGGTTAGGGTTATGTTTCGGGGAATTTTGGGAGAATTTGGCATTTTGGGGTG